CCCATCCTGCTTGGGTATGCAGACATGACACCTCAGGGGGAGGCTGGACCCCAGGGCACATTTAGGTCAGGAAGGTACATAACTCAAAGTGACAAGAACAGAACAGAGTTCTCCCCCAATATTCTGAACTACATTAGAACCCCAGGACTTGCCCACAACCCAGGCTGGTAAAAAGAGGAATTTCCCATCTCCTTGTCAAATTAGAGCTGGGAGCAGATTAAATTTCATTTAGAGAAATAAACATGACATTTCTTATATTCTGTGTTGTGTCTCAAACCCATTTCATTTGATAGCAAGGGAATACATTAATGATGACCTGTCCAGAGAGTCCTCCAGGAGATCCAAGGGATTCAAAAGTGGAATTATTAGCTCCCAGGACTGGCAATCCAAAGGTAGGGTGGACTTCAGGACATTGCTGATCCAGGAGCTGATTCCAAACTGATAGCAGCTCCAGCCTCACAATGTCCAGAGGAAGAAGGGCCGCCTCTTCCTGGCGCGCTCAGGAGGGAAGCCTCTCTGTACCTGAAGGCTTGGGTGTCACTGGCCTGAAATGAATATGCTCTGCAAGCCAGTTCCTGCTGTGTGCACAGGTGCCCATAGCAGGCCCTGTGGCAAGAGGGGAGAGCTTGTGGCCCAACAAATTCAGGTGCTACTGACGATGCTGGTTAGCAGTACCCAAGGTCCCTACCTGGGGCTTCTGCTCCATGCAAACCTTGGTAGTGCAGGCTGTGGGCCATCCCCTGAAGTTGTGGCCTGAGGACAGGCCTTGCTTGCATGGCAGATTGATGCAAAATGTCTTCCAGTATCCATATTCCTTGCCTTGCGACCTCCCATCAGGAGGTGGAGTCTATTTTCCCCAGCCCCTGATTTGCTTTGGCCAATAGGCTGCCGCAGAAGTGGCTGTGTGCCAGTTTAGAGCCTGGGCAGCAAGTGGCCTTGGAGCTCCCTCTTGTTCTTTTGGAACCCTGCCGGGTCCCAGTGTGAGCGCGCCCTGGGTGGCCTGATGGGATGAGACTCCAAGTGGAGGAGAGCTGGCTTTCCCAACCAAGACCACCCTACAAACCAGCAGACCCCAACACGTGAGGCCTGCCAGGACCAAACCTTCCCCCAGAACTAACTTATTATTCATGAGCAACAGTAAATGCCTGTTTGCTTAAAGCACTAAGCTCTGCGGAGGTTTGTCCTAAAGCAACAGCTAACTGACATGCCCTCAAGAGCCAAGGATCCCTGCCTCCCTCTTCCTGCATGAGCCACCCCTGGAAAGAGGGCCAACCAGGAAATAAGGTCCAACTGAGGCCAAGGGAGCTGTCTCTGGACCACCTGGGGAATTGACATTCTGCTTTTTCTGCATAAGTGAAGCCAGAAGACCCTCGCTGACAATGTCTGGAACCACTCAGGCGGGGGTTATTCCTTTGCAGAGTTAAAAAGCAGATTCTCAGGCTTCATCCAGAGACTCAGCTTCTGGTGTGTGGCCTAGGAACCTGCACTGAGCTGTGTGGCACTGTGGGAGCTCTGAGGTACTAGTCTTTCCTCTAAGCTGGAGACTTTTGGGGCCAGAGGGAGGCACTATTTATGAGGGAGCCAGGGATGCTCATACCACAAGTTCAGTGTCTAGTGAGGTTTGCAGAGGCCTCGGAGGCAGCTCTATTTGCGACTTTGTTTTTAAAAATGTTTTGAGAGAGGGAGGGAGGGACAGGGAGAGAAACATCAATGAGAGAAACATTGATCGGCTGCCTCCTGGACGGCCCCTACAACCTGGATTGAGCCTGCAACCCAGGCATGTGCCTTGACTGGGAATCAAACCAGCGACGTCATGGTGCTTGGAATGAAGTGCACCCAACTGAGCCACACCTGCCAGGACATGACTATTCTTTCAACATCACGTCTTCAATGTATAAAAGTTACAAATAGAAAACCCTAGATATTCCTTAGGATGTGCAATTCAAATTACTAATTTTATAAAGCTGGTCATTTTTAGTTATCCCTTTGACTAGTCATGTATGGTCCCATTTATAAGCTGCAATCCTCCTTAAACATCTTTTTAAAAATATGTCTTTATTGATTTCAGAGAGAGGAAGGGAGGAGAGATAGAAACATCAATGATGAGAAAGTCAGTGATCGGCTGCCTCCTGCATGCTGCCCCCCACTGGGGATCAAGCCTGCAACCAGGGCATGTGTCCTGACCCGGAATTGAACGGAGATCTCTTAAACATTTAAGCTGCATTTACACATGTAGAATCTAAATTTAATTTTTAGCATTTTAGTTGTTCACTTTATCAAGTATTTGAAAATCCCTATAGACATATTAAATGTCTAAATTTCTCTTAAACTTGTAAATGCTCTTTAAAACTTCAAATTATAACCACAAACTGGAAAATCTTATACCAACTTAAAATCACTATCAAAATACTCAACCAAGTATTTCACACTGGAATCAGATTTATCTCATACTCTACCATGCGAAATTCCCTTATAATTGCACAAAACAAACACAGCGATTGCTTGTAAACAACACAAAAACAGGAACGCTCCGGTTTTGATCTGCTTAGTCACCTCTCTAGGAGATTCAATCTTCTGGGGGAAAGACCCCTCTCTCAGGAAACTGCCCGTCCCAAGGCGCCTACGGGCCCGAGGCCAGGGGCTGGGCCTGGGCCGGAGCCCTGGGTATTCTTAGGCCAGAAGGGACCCCCTGCAGCCCCGGCCCAGGGCGGGCACGTGGCTGTGGGTGCTGTGCTGAGTCCTCCAGCTCCCCGCCTCTTCCTCTGCGGTAGGTGCGGTTATTATTCCCCTAGGGCAGGCGAGGGAACAGTGAGACGGGTTTAAACGATGGAGCTGGGCTGCAAACTCAGGCAGGAGGGATCCCAGGCCCGCACTCTCGACCCCCGGCGTTGCACTGCAGGCCCCAAGGACCCTGGGAGCGGCGGGCTTCCGCTGGGCCTCGGGGAGCCCTGGGGAGGGCTCTTCCACAGGCTCCGTCCTTCCCTTCCCGACACCCACCCTCGGGGCCCTTCGCCTGGCACGGGGCCAGGTTCCGAACGCCACGCGCTGGTTCTCGCCGCCCCGCCCGCAGGGCTCCCACCTCCGCNGGCGGGCACGCGGGGCAGCGTCCAGTTTCCAGGACCCGCCGGCTCCGCCCCACCCGGGGTCCCTCTTCTGCAGCTCTCTTCGAGCCCGCTCAGTTCCCAGCTCCGAAGTCGCTTCCTCCGGGGAGCCCTCCGGACGTCCCGGTCGAGCCCCACCTCCGGGGTCCGGCAGAGGCGCGGGGCTGGGCTTCCCTCGGGGCCCCGCCGCCGGCCCAGGGCGCCTGCGGGAACTGCGGGTCCAGGCCCAGCTCCCCCGGGAACGCTGCTCGCAAAGGCCTCGCCAAGAGGGGAGGAAACTGGGGCGGGGGGCTGGGGGGGGTCAGCGCCCCGAAGGGCTGCCCCGCAGCGACCTCCGGCCCCGCGCCACCCGCCGGCCGTTTGGCCCCGCAGACCACAACTCCCGAGAGGCCTAGCGGGCGAGCCAGGGGCGCCGGCCGCGGCTCTCGCGAGGAGATGGGAGCTCGAGCTCGCGAGACTGAGCGGGGCCGGAAAAAGCCGCGTTTCAAAGCGATAATAGACAGTTGTCTCACCCAATAGAATTGAAAATATACCTCCCGAACTCGTAAAACGCGGGAGTAGAGGCGGCGGCGGCCAATGGAAACGCCAGGGGGCGGGGCCAAGGCCTCCGGAGCGGAAGTGGGTCGCTGTTGAGGCGGCGGCGTCTTGCTGGAGCGCTTCTCGGCAGCAGCTTCCGAGGGTGCTTCCTCGCTCGGATGCGTCGGCGGCGGCGCCTGCCGGACCAGAGCAGCCCAAGTAAAGCCGGGCTTCGCGGGGAGGGAGCAG